CTTTGTAACCGCTTTGGCCCCTGAAACGCAGAATGTGGTGACTTGGCATGTTAGATCATAAAGGATAATATTGCCCCACTTGGATCTAAAATAGTTGCCCTGGGAACCCGGCAACCACATGGCCAGGAAAGCACAGGCCACCTGGAGAGCTCATGTGTATGTTCTGGCTGATAACCGCAGCAAGGCCCCCAGCTGAAGCCACCTTCAACCACCTGATACAAAATTCAGCACCTCTTTCTGTGATTGCAGCCAGTCTTTGAGTTTCCCAGCAGAGACTTCCAGCTGAGATAAACCATTGCTACCATGCCCAGTCTGGATTGCTATCCCAAAGAAACATGAGACTTTATATATTTATATTTATGTGCATTTCTATTTTAAAAATGAAATATCATTGGGGGCCAGCGCCATGGCTCACTTGGTTAATCCTCTGCCTGCGGCACTGCCATCCCATAGGGGTACCGGGTTCTAGTCCCGGTAGCTCCTCTTCCAGTCCAGCTCTCTGCTGTGGCCCAGGAAGGCAGTGGAGGATGGCCCAAGTGCTTGGGCCCCTGCACCCACTTGGGAGACCAAGAGGAAGCATTTGGCTCCTGGCTTCTGATCGGCACAGCGCCGGCCGTGGCGGCCATTTGGGGGGTGAACCAACGGAAGGAAGACCATTCTCTCTGTCTATAAATCTGTCAAATAAATAAATAAATAATTTAAAAAATGAAATACTACATACTATTTAATACCCCCCATTTTCTTTCACTTTCTTTTGAGAGACAGAGGAACAGACAGAGACAGATCTTCCATCTGCTGGCTCATTCTCCAGATGCCTTCAACAGCCAGGGTCAGGACCAGATGGAATCCAGGGGCCCAGAAATCAATCTGAGTCTCCCACCTGGGTGGCAGGGACCCAAGAACATGAGTTATCATCTGCTGCTACCCAAGCTCGGTATTACTAGGAAGATAGATCAGAAGTGGAGTCAGAACTCAAACTAGGCACTGATTTGGGAGGTGGGTGCTCCAGGCAGTAACTTAACCACTGTGTCACACACCCATCTCTCATATTCTATTCTTATCACTTAAGAGTAAACCATAGGAGTGGGTATTTGGCACAATGATTAAGACATTGCTTAGGGGCCGGCGCTGTGGCATAGCGGGTAAAGCCGCCACCTGCAGTGCCAGCATCCCATATGGGCGCTAGTTCGAGTCTCAGCTGCTCTGATTCCGATCCAGCTCTCTGCTGTGGCCTGGGAAAGCAGTGGAAGATGGTCCAAGTCCTTGTGCCCACGTGGGAGACCTGGGAGAAGCTTTTGGCTCCTGGTTACAAATTGGCACATCTCCAGCTGTTGCAGCCAGCTGGGGATTGGACTAGCAGATGGAAGACCTCTCTCTCTGACTCTCCTCTCTCTGTGTAACTCTGACTTTCAAATAAATAAATAAATATTTTTAAAAAATGCTTATAATTGGAGTGGGCATTGTGGCACAGCAGGTTAAGCCACTGCTGGGGATGATCAAGTCCCATCTCTGCTTCTCCAGCTTCGTGGTAATGCACACCCCAGAAGGCAGAGTTGATGGCTTGAGTACTTGGCTCCTTGCCACCCATGTAGGAGACCCAGATGGAGTTCCAGGCTCCTTACTGCTGTCTGGCCAGGCAGCTGTTGCAGGCTTTTGGGAAGTGAACCAACAACATCTCTAGGTCTGTCATTCTTTCAAACAAAAAAAAAATTTTTTAGATGCTTGTTTATTTGAAAGCAGAGTGATACAGAGAGAGAGGGACAGAAAGGGGGAGACAGAGATTGATTTTCTGGCTGCTGGCTCATTCCCCAAAATATACATCAGCCAGGGCTACTGGGCCAGGCCAGAATCAGAAACTTGGAAATCCATCTGTCTCCCAAGTGGGTGACAGGGATCCAATTACTTGGGCCATAATTCACTGCCTCCCATGGTGTATAAGCAGGAAATTGGATTGGATGTGAAGGAGCCAGGACTCAAACTGGGCATTTTGATGTTCATTTTTCAATCCAGGGGCCTCTGTAACCTCAGCTTGCTATTGACAAACACACAGGCCAGTGGCATGATGGACTTGGTAAACTAATGACAGTATTTACTGTCAACTACAACACCAAGGTGAGCATCAATCCCTGCCTCAAGAATCCTGAAGTTCAGATTTTCAACGGCAACTGTGCCAAACTCAATTCCTGATGGTTTGAAATGAATCAATAGGACAGTAGACAGGCATGTAATTGCATCTTCACTGTTCAAACATCCAGTTAAATTTTTCACATTTTTTTCCCAACAAAGCTGGGGACTCTGGTTAAATTCTGCTGCAGAAGCTTTACACCCACAGCCGTCACATGCAGGATCACCTTTGTACACCTGAGGGCCTTGTTCTTCCACAATACAAATTAAAGCCATGCAACAGCCTGGTGGCCTCATTGCAGCAATTATTGCACACATTACGTCCACAGGAATTCCATAGCCATACTTCCTTGTGCAGTTAGCTGCCTCCTGGTATACCATCTGTACCTTGGATCTGTTGTGAGCTGTCCTGTTATCACACTGTCAATATTTTCAGTTATCTGAAATAAGTGAGTCACTGTGCTGGAACTGAGTAATTAGGTACTTTCTCCTGTGTGACAGTTACTGAACAGTTTTTCCCTCTGACAGCTACTGATCTAAGGCCACCCTGGTTATTAGCCTTAAAAGCATATTCTAGGGGCCCATGCTGTGGCACAGGGAATTAAAACAGCAGTCTGCAGCGGCGGCATCCCACATGGGCGCCAGTTCGAGTCCTGGCTGCTCCACTTCTGATCCACCTCTTTGCTGTGGCCTGGGAGAGCAGTATAGGATGGCCTAAGTCCTTGGGCCACTGCACCCTCGTGGAAGACCTGGAGAAAGCTCCTGGCTCCTGGCTTTGGATCAGCTCAGCTCAGCTCTGGCCATTGCGGTCATTTGGGAGGTGAATCAGTGGATGGAGGACCTCTCTAACTCTGTCTTTCAAATAAATAAAATGGCCTTTCAGCCAGAACCGTCATCTTCCAGTAATTCACCAAGATGACGAACACAAAGAGAAAGAGGAGGTACCTGGTACATGTTCTCCAGGCATTTCAGAAAACATGGAGTTGTTCCTTTGGCCACATACATGCGCATTTACAAGAAAGGTGACATTGTAGACATCAAAGGAATGCCCCACGTTACCATGGCAACACTGGAAGAGCCTACTATGTTACCCAGCATGCTGTTGGCACTGTTGTAAACAAACAAGGGCAAGATTCTTGCCAAGAGAATAAATGTGGATATTGAACATATTAAGCACTCTAAGAGCCGAGATAGCTTCTTGAAGCGTGTGAAGAAAAATGATCAGAAAAAGAAGGAAGCCAAAGAGAAGGGTACCTGGGGTTCAGGTGCCAGCCTGCTCCACCCAGAGAAGCCCAATTTTTTAGAACCAATGGAAAGGAGCCTGAGCTACTGGAACTCATTCCTTATGAATTCGTGGCATAATAACTGCAAAATAAATAAAAGATTTCTGACTGCAAAGATGTTTCCTAATTGAGTAGAAGTGTGGTGTCTTGTTTCCAAAGAATTATTTCTATCAAAAACAAAGAAAATGAATTTTTTATTTTTTTTAAAGATTTATTTTTTATTTTAAAGTCAGCGTTACAGAGAGAGAGGAGAGGCAGAGAGAGATAGGGAGGTCTTCCATCCGATGGTTTACTCCCCAGTTGGCCGAAATGGTCAGAGCTGCGCTGATCCAAAGCCAGGAGCCAGGAGCTTCTTCCAGGTCTCCCATGCGGGTGCAGGGGCCCAAGGACTTGGACCATCTTCTACTGCTTTCCCAGGCCACAGCAGAGAGCTGGATTGGAAGTGGAGCATCCTGGTCTCGAACCAGTGCCCGTATGGGATGCCGGCGCTTCAGGCCAGGGCGTTTACCCGCTGTGCCACAGCGCCAGCCCCATTATTATTATTATTTAAAAAAAAGCATATTCTACTTGGCAGAGCAGAACCCTGGGTGACCAAATAGAAATCTGGTGGTCAATACCATTGCTGGAACCCTGAGACACGTTAGTGAACCCATTACTTCAAGCACACTCTCCTCCACCGCCCCTTATTTTTTAAAGTTATTTTTTGTTTTTAGAAAGGGAGAAACAGAGAGAACTTCCATCCTCCGGTTCACTCCCCCCAAATTCCCAAGTGCTGGGAATTCAGCGCAGCGCGGATCTCCGGGTGGGTGTCTGGGACCCCTGCTACTTCCCAGTGCGCCCAGGAGCAGGGAGCTGAAGCAGAGCAGCCAGACGCCAACCCAAGCCACACGCCCGCCCCAAGCTCTCTCCTAATGCCGCTCTTCCACCAAGTTCGGGAAGTGCTCTCTGCCTGGGTGGGAATGGTTTGAGTTGTTATTTACGGACTTGCACAGCCAGGAGGCTCCGACACCAACGGCTTCACGCCAGCGTTTCCACGGTGGTGCAGCAGCTTGCGAGGGTCTCCCTCCCTCTCTACCCACAGCCCTGGAAGTCCTGCGAGTTCCTACACCGTGAGCAAATGTGCGGTCAGGCGGCTAAGAGGCAGTCCTGTCCGGGAAGTGGAAGCCGCACAGCTGGGCGGCCAAAGAGGCCGCCGCGCGTGATCCTGGGCTCCGCAAGACCCAGCGACTTCCTCGGCTCCCCCCGGACCAGAGAGAGGCAACCGTCCTTGCTTCTCTGCGCCCGACAGCGCAGTACAAGAGTGAAGCCAGGAACCGGTCAGAGACGCGTCGGTTAAAAATATCTCGCCGGGAGGCGCCGGTAGACGAACGCCGGAAAAAGGAGCTTGACCACCTCCTTCGGAAGCCGAACCCTCTGCTCTGTCTGCAGTGGTCTCCGCCCGCCCTACCCGGCCTGGACTCTGGGTCGGAGCACAGGATTGCCAAGTGCGAGCGACAGCGAGGCCTCCTGGCTCCGAGCCCGCGGCCACTCGGACGACCGCCGGGCGACCTCGGCCCGGAAGTGACGCAACTGTGCCGAGCACTTCCGGAGCGGCGGGGACAGCTCCGCCGGAGGAAGCAGCGCGGGCCCGACCGGCGTCGGCCCGCCGCCTCCGCCGACGCTGCGCTGCGATCCCACCGCGCTGGCCGGGCCCGAAGTGGTCTGGCCTGTTTGGGCTCAGCGGCCGCAGGGCCGCGGTTTCCGGTAAGTGCGCGACGCGAGTCGCGGCCTTGTTTACCGCGGCGGGCCGGTGGGGGGGCCCCCTCTGTGCGCGCCTCCCGGGCTGGGCCGGGACTCCGCCTTCCCCGCCGCAGCCGGCGAGGCCCGGGCGCCCCCCGCCGCTAGCCGAGGGGTGGCAGGGAGCTGCGGCCGAGGTAGCTGGGCGCCGGGAGTCTGCGCCTTTTCTCCTCCGGCCGCCGTCTCTCAGTTCGCAGAGAGGTCGGAGGCCAGCGCCTCTGGCCGGGCCGGTGCCGGCACTTCTGGGCCTTCCTGGTCGGGAGCTTCCCGGAAACGCACCTTCTCCAGGTGTTCCGACTCCAGTCCTCTGTGGGAGCTCCCGCAGCGTCGCCCGCGCGGTTTGTTAACGCCTGCTTGCGGGGAATCCCTGCAGCGCGTGGGTTCCGTGTCCACCCCGACGTTCCGGAGCCCTCGGCGCCCCCACTGGAGCTGCGGCCTCGGAGCTGCCCAGCCCCCTCGGCCAGTGCCGCGGGAGAGGCCGCAGGGCTCGCCCGTGACTTCGCTCGGGTACTGATTGTTGCTGTGTCCCGTAGAACTTTGTGTCACGGTGGACGCGTTGAGTCTGCAGCAACCAGCCAGCCACACGTGGCCATCGAACATTTTACGTGAGAGAGTGTGGCCGAAAAACCGAATTTTAAAACACTTAATCAGGTTTAAATTGTTAGGTTTAAAAAATAAACTAAATGAAACTTAACGTTAGGTTTAAATAGCCCCTCGTGGCTACTCTGTTAGGACCAAAACAGGGTGTGGGGTTTTGAAACTAAGTTGCTGATTCACAGTTTTCTGTGAAGTGGTTTTCTCTGGAGTAGATAGTAAAAGACCATCCAGCGCTGAATAACCGCATCTGGAAACATCGTTAGAGTCAGCAGACTTTGTGTTGTGTTCTTGTAGGCTTGAGACAGAGTTTGAATCCTTCCCTTCCGTGTGTGGCCAGGCCTGGTGAGCCAGCCCAGGGTCAGTTCTTCTGAACACGTGACTTTAATCCTGGCGACAAATAATTTCTGTTATTCCTTTATTCCGTTTCTTTCCGGGATGCCAGGATAATATTTAACCTCTGAAAGGAATTCAAAGTGTTGCCATCAGTTCTCTTATTAAGGAAGTAACATACTGCCCCATTTGAGCAGTCTTTCAAATAGGATACAAATATTTATCTTTGAAAAGATTAAAAGTTAAGTTTTATTTTTAAGTCTGGACCTAGAACATCAGTAAGTACGAAATGTAGTTCCTTTTCCTTTGAGGGGAATTCCTGAATATTTGGTTAATGAAAAACCGGTGGGCAACTTGTAAGCTCAGTTTTGGAGAGAATGTAGAAGTGTTGCTGGTGTGAGTTCGAAGTGTCTTTCAGTGTGCACAGTGTCAGGCTCTCTGGGAGGAGTGTGGGTAGTTGTGAATCCCACAGACCATGGGACTGATGGAAAACTGATGCTGCACTCCACCACTTGCCAGTTGTATAAACCTGGGTAATTTGCTGTCCTTTATGAACTGCAGTTTCCTCATTTCTAAGAAGGGGACACATAGCCATTTTGTAAGGTTGTAAAGAGCGAATGAGAATGAGGCTGACCTGAAATTGTCTCTGATTCAGTAAGAACTGTTATTGCTTGTGTTTTGTTTTGTTTTTGGTAAATGTAAGCAGTGTTCACAGATTTTTGTTTGCCCAGTAAGTGGTTATCTTATGTAAAAACAGACAAAAGAAAAAAGTTCAAAAAATTATTCTTCGATTATTTGGTAAATAATCTTTTATTTATTTGAAAGAGTTACAATAAGACAGACAGACAGACACACACACATACGCGTGCACGCGATTGATCTCCCATCTGCTCTTCACTCCCCAGATGGCCCTAGTGGCTGGAACTGGGGCAAGTGGAAGGCAAGAAGCTGGAACTCCACCTGGGGCCCAAGTGCTTGGGTCATCTTCCCATGTTTTCCGAGACACATTAGTGGGGAGCTCCATCAGAAGTGGAGAAGCTGGGCTGGCACTGTGGTGCAGTTGGTAAATGCGGTGCCAGCATCCCATATAGGTGCTGGTTTGAGTCCTGGCTGCTCCACTTCTGATACTTTCTGCTACGGCCTGGGAAAGTAGTAGAAGATGGCCCGAGTGCTTGGGCCATTACGCCCATGTGGGAGACCTGAACGAAGCTCCTGGCTTCAGATCAGCCTAGCTTTGGCTGTTGTGGGGCATGAACCAGCAGATAGAAGACCTTTCTCTCTGTCTCTCCCTCTCTCTGTAACTCAACCTCTCAAATAAATAAAATCTTTAAAAAATTTTTCCAGGAATTTACAAGAAAAAACTTTCAAAATCAGGATACCTGTTTTTAAAATAGAATTCTCTGTTTTCATTTTAGATGGAAATCATATGACAGAATACTTGGATGACATTTATTTGAAAGATCTTCAAGAATTACAGGTATTTTTAATGTAAAGATTAACTTTTTTTTCCTAGAGGATAAAATCCCACAGTTCAGTTGTGATTATGTAGTTTTGCCCTACAAAATATTCTGTTAAAAGTTAACTTGCAAGCTTTATTTTTTTCCTCTATAATGGATGTTTTGAGCATTTATAGTTACCGTACTAACTTAGATTTACTGATATTTTTATAACCTAAAAAGTGACTCACTATCCCCTTAGACAAGTTATATATTCAGTCTTTTTTTTTTTTTTTTTTACAGGCAGAGTGGATAGTGAGAGAGACAGAGAGAGAGAAAGGTCTTCCTTTGCCGTTGGTTCACCCTCCAATGGCTGCTGCGGCCGGCGCATCGCGCTGATCTGAAGCCAGGAGCCAGGTGCTTCTGGTCTCCCATGCGGGTGCAGGGCCCAAGGACTTGGGCCATCCTCCACTGCACTCCCGGGCCATAGCAGAGAGCTGGCCTGGAAGAGGGGCAACCGGGACTAGAACCCGGTGTGCCGATGCCACCAGGCGGAGGATTAGCCTATTCAGCCGCAGTGCTGGCCTCAGTATGCATTTCCTAATCTTTTTTAAATGATGTTTTTAAATTGAGGTTATTTATGTTATTTATATAGTTTACATTTACTTTTGTTAAAATTCAGATTTATGTAAATTGTTTACATGTTACTGAATCCAAATGTTCTTGCATTTTAAATTCCTGTTAGTTTGGGGATATAAATCATTAGTGATGTTCCTTGCAAATCATTGCTTGAAATGGTATTTCCAGAGAAAAGTTCATGGGGGTTTGCCAGGGTCTTCCCTGAGATGAGGTTATTGCAACTGTTTCACCTTCTCAGCTAGTGGTCTTTTTCATGTATATGTAATTGAGTAGTATTTTGCTTTATAAGGAGTTTTCGTTTTAGAAATTTTTTTCATTTTGTTTGAAAGGCAGAAAGAGAGACAGATCTTCCATCTGTTGGTTCACTTCCCAAATGCCCTTAACAGCTAGGACTGAGTCAGGCTGAAGTCCAGAGCTGGAACTCAATCTGGGTCTCCTGTGTGGGTGTCAGAACCGAAGCACTTGAGCCATTACCAATTGCCCTCCAGAGTGAGCCATAATCAGGAGGCTGGAATTAGAAGCAGAGCTGAGACTTGAACCCAGACACTTCAGTGTAGGATGTAGGCAGATGGCATTAATATGCTTGCCCTGTGAGAATTTTTAATAGTTGATTGGATTTGAAGTTTTTTTTTTTTTTTTAAGATTTATTTGTTTATTTGAAAGTCAGAGTTACACAGAGATAGAGGAGAGGCAGAGAGAGAAAGAGAGAGAGGTCTTACATCCACTGCTTCACTCCACAATTGGCTGCAATGGCTGGAGCTGCGCCAATCCGAAGCCAGGAGCCAGGAGCTTCTGGGTCTCCCATGCAGGTGCAGGGGCCCAAGGACTTGGGCCATCTTCCTCTGCTTTCCCAGGCCATAGCAGAGAGCTGTATGGGAAGTGGAGCAACCGAGACTAGAACTGGTGCCCATATGGGGTGCCGGCACTTCAGGTCAGGGCTTTAACCTGATGCGTCACAGCACCGGCCCCTGAAGTCTTGTTTCTTAATCGAAAATAGATTCTAGTTTTTCCCAACCTTGATCTTGCCAGTAAAGAATATCTAGTTTCCCTTCACTATTGTGTCAGTTTCTTTACCTCTTGGGACTCCTTTTTAAAGTTAAGTAGAACCCTTAAAACTGAAAAATCAGTTAACTTTGCAGATGAGAGGAAGAAGTTGAGCAGTGCTGTGGCTTTTTTCTCTACAGGGCTCCGATTTTGCAGATATCTTAAGTGACACCTGTAAAAACAGTAGTTGTCTTTTCCTACATGTGATTGTGAGAAGGAACTGTGTCCCTACTTATGTGCTGTCTGTGTCCTAATTCAGGCATGATTAGGAAAATTTTAAACTTTGGTTGCTAAACCTCCAGGTGACCTGCCCCACGTACAGCCAGTTGTGGGAATGTGCGCCTCCCTCGAGGACTCTGGCAGGAAGCACACGCCCTTTGGAATTTAAGTACCTGACAGGGAGCAGTTCTGCCTTTTCTTGCCAGGCCCTTCATGTGAAGTTATTATCATCAAGTGCTTTTGCCTCTCCAGGGAAGGAGAGGGGTTTCCCTTTGATAAACCTAGGCCAGGGCGAGCATGGTGAGAGTGGCCCATGAGACCAGGGTTGGGTTAGGCCATAATGGGCTAGGGTCAGGGCTGTACCATTTTGATTCTTGAATGTTTTCTATTAACAGTGTCTCTGGGGGAAAATGTAACACTTGTTTTTTTCCCCCTTCCCTTAGAAGACAAAAAAACACTAATGCGTTTGAGAAAGCGGTAAATTTTGGGGGAGGGGGACAAAGCAACTGCTTTCCGATCTGCAACTTGGCTGGATGCTAAGATGTCCGTGGACATGAATAGCCAGGGGTCTGACAGCAATGAAGAGGACTATGACCCAAATTGTGAAGAGGAGGAAGAGGAAGAGGATGAGGACCCTGGGGACATAGAGGACTATTATGTGGGAGTAGCCAGTGATGTGGAGCAGCAGGGGGCCGATGCCTTTGATCCTGAGGAGTACCAGTTCACCTGCTTGACCTACAAGGAGTCCGAAGGCGCCCTCAACGAGCACATGACCAGCTTAGCCTCTGTCCTAAAGGTAAGCAGCGATGTTTCAAGTGTAATCTCCCCATTAAATCTCTGGATGTGTCCTCTAGGCTGATTGAATGGCCTTGTAGCTTGAATCCAAATTTAAGTATATATTGCATTGTTTGTCCATTTTATTCCATTTGCCTTCTTTTTGTGATATATATTTATCTAATGTTTTGGATTCTCAAATTAATAAGAATCAGGAAGGAGTGATAAAGTAGGTTGAAAACAGACCAGAAGTATGCAGTAGTTGAATTGCATAGCTTTGCACTTGTGTCAGAAGGTCTTACAGAACTTTATGAGATAGATAAAATATGCATCAAAATCACTGTTTTCTGTACGACCATGTTTGGCAAATATTTTAAGGTATTCAGATCCCCCTGGTTTGCCCTGAGTAATCTGTGAGTTTGGGCTAATGAGTTCATTTGTTTCATATACTGATGACCAGTGTCTAATGTTGGAAGAGATTTTAGCATTCACTCTAAGAATAAGTTCTAATATGTTGTATTTCATTGATTTGGGGGATATTAGTATGGAAATGTAAAGAATGAACAAAGTTGCTTATTCGAGCAAGAATCTCATTTTTAACACTTAAACCAGTATGCCTTGGATGTCTTAGTTTTGGGGCTATTTATTGCTTTCACTGTTTACATTTATTTATTTATTTGACAGGCAGAGTGGACAGTGAGAGAGAGACAGAGAGAAAGGTCTTCCTTTGCCGTTGGTTCACCCTCCAATGGCCGCCGCGGCCAGAGTGCTGCGGCCGGCGCACCGCGCTGATCCGATGGCAGGAGCCAGGTACTTATCCTGGTCTCCCATGGGGTGCAGGGCCCAAGTACTTGGGCCATCCTCCACTGCACTCCCTGGCCACAGCAGAGAGCTGGCCTGGAAGAGGGGCAACCGGGACAGAATCTGGCTCCCCGACCGGGACTAGAACCCGGTGTGCCGGCGGCGCAAGGTGGAGGATTAGCCTAGTGAGCCGCGGTGCTAGCCCACTGTTTACATTTATTACAGTCATTTAAACAAATCCAAACTTTCTGGGTTCCTTTTTTTTTTTTTTAAAGATTTATTTATTTACTTGAAAGTCAGAATTACATAGAGAAGGAGAGGCAGTGAGAGAGAGGTCTTCCATCTGCTGGTTCACTCCCCAGTTGGCCACAGTGGCCGGAGCTGCGCTGATCTGAAGCCAGGAGCTTCTGGGACTCCCATGTGGGTGCAGGGGCCCAAGGACTTGGGCCATCTTTTACTGTTTTCCCAGGCCATAGCAGAGAGCTGGATTGAAGTGGAGCAGCCAAGACTCAAACCAGCACCCATACGGGATGCCAGCACTGCAGGCGGTGGCTTTACCCGCTGTGCCACTGTACCGGCCCCATCTATTAGAGTATTTAGATAGTTTCCCAGAATGTTTTCTTCTTTAACCCTGGCTGTTGTGCGAAGATGGGAGCATTTCTCTTACTTTAGTGTTTTTTGGTCTTTCTTTTGAATGCTGCATGGGTTTTATCATCAAATTGAAGGTCAAAAGGGTGCAATGGCATGATTTAAAGTAAATTTTTTGCTTATATTTAAATGGAAATAGCAAAGATGTGTCATGTATGGTTTCTGTAAAAGTTTATCTACTGGTTTAGGGATTTTCTTTTTCCCCAAATGGTCATCAAAGGCTAAAATTTAGATATTTAGGGCTTTTAAGGAACTGGTTGAAAGCTGAAAGCTAAAGCTTTTTTGGTGGCTGATTTCTAGAAGTGATTATAGACTACTACTTTGTGCTCAGCAGAAAACTGAAGAGTGGAGACTCTTGGATCATCGTGTTTGGGATTTCTGCACCCATGGCTTGTAGCGAAGCTGCTGGGATCTGCCTCCAGAGGGCATTCCCTGGTTAAAAAAGAGGCATCAGATCTCTTCCTTCCTCACCATGGATGCCTCTCCCATGTTGGTCGGCTAGCTTTTTTGCTTCAACCATACTGTTAGGTTATATACAATTATGATTCTTTTTTTTTTAAATATTTATTTTATTTTATTTGAAAGAGTTACAGAGAGAAGTAGAGACAGAAAGGTCTTCCTTCTGCTGGTTCACTTCCTAGATGGCCCGCAACGGCCGGAGCTGCGCTGATCCAAAGCCAGAAGCCAGGAGCTTCTTCCAGGTCTCCCACGTGGGTGCAGGGGCCCAAGGACTTGGGCCATCTTCTGCTGCTCTCCCAGGCCATCACAGAGAGCTGGATCGGAAGTGGAACAGCCGGGACTAGAACCGGCGCCCATATGGGATGCTGGTGCTTCAGGCCAGGGCGTTAACCTGCTGTGCCACAGCGCCGGCCCCTCAGTTATGATTCTTAAAATAAGAGAAGAGATTGCATATGTACTATAATAGTGTCAATTTCTTTAAAATTTTTATTTTTCATTTTGTATGAAAGGCAGAGAGATCATCAATCCACTGTTTCATTCCCCAAATGCCTGCAGTAACCAGGGCTGTTCCAGGCTAAAGCCAGGAGCCCAAAACTCATTCAGGTCTCCTGCGTGGATGGCAGGGACTCAAGTACTTGAGCCGTCATCTGCTGCCCAGGGTGCAGATTAGCGGGCAACTTGGCCAGAAGCGAAGGAGCTGGGACGCAAGCCAGACACTGCAATGTAGGGTGTGGGCATCCCCAGCCGTGTGTGAATTGCTGCGCCAAACACTAACCACTGTGACAGTGTCACTTGCTGCCTCTCCTGTCCGCCTAGAGATAGTTGAGAGGCCCAATCATCCTTCCTCTTCTTTTTTGTTTTCAGTTGTGCTAAAATATATATAACATTAAGATTATCAATTTACATTCTTCATTTTCACGAGGCTGACATGATCAGTTCCTGGAATGCCTTTCCTTCACCTCTCACCTTTTGAGGCCCTCAAGTTTCCTTTGAGTCTCCCTTGTGCTTTCCCTGAATGGCCCTCCTGTTGAATTCTGAAATGGTGGTTGTGCCCTCCTTTGATCGGTGATCAAACAATTTGAGCAGCAGAGAGCTAGAGAATATACGTTCCCTCCCATCTACAGGTTCATTCCCCTACTGCCCATGATAGCCAGGGCTGAGCTGGAGCTAGAGCTGGAAACCAGGAGCACGACCCAAGTCTCCCATGCAGATAGCAGGAATCCAGTTATTTGAGTCAGTACCACCACCACCACCCATATTCTGTGTTAGCGGGAAGCTGAAGTCAGGAGTGGGACCAGGAGTCGAGCCCAGGCACTCTGATGTGGTGTACGGACATTACTAGGCTAAATGTCTGTCCCATGTATGTATTTTTTTCTCTAGATCTTGTACTGCAGTCTTTTGATGCTTTAAGTTGTTCTACGCTTTCACATATTTTGTTTGGCATGAGCTCTCCAGTTACATTGTCAGGTCCTGAAAGGCAGTGGCTGCTTTGTACCTTCTCATTTCCATCTTCCCTGGCCTAGTATTTTATTCACAGGGATTTAGTAATTTCTCGGATACTTTTAGATTTTGTTAATGATGATGATAACTACTAATACTGGTGTAAGCTAAATGTTCATTCTTTTTTTTTTAAAGATTTATTTTATTAATTTGAAAGACAATGTTGCAGAGAGAGGTGGAGACAGAGAGAGAGGTCTTCCATCCACTGGTTTACTTCCCAGGTAGCCGCAATGGCCAGAGCTGAGCTGATCCAAAGCCAGAAGCCAGGAGCTTCCTCCGGGTCTCCCACGTGGGTGCAGGGACCCAAGGACTTGGGCCATCTTCCACTGCTATCCAGGCCACAGCAGAGAGCTGGATCGGAAGTGGAGCAGCCAGGACTCGAACCGTGCCCACATAGGATGCCGGCTCTGCAGGCGGTGGCTTTACCCGCGACGCCACAGTGCCCCCCCCCCCCCTTTTTTAGAGGTTGGTTTATTTGCAAGGCAGAGTTGCACAGAGAGAGAGAGAGAGAGAGATTGAGATTCAGATATTGAGAGATTTTCCATCTACTGATTCACTCCCCAAATGGCTGCAAATGGCCAGAGCTGGGCCAATCCAAAGCTAGGAGTCAGGAGCTTCTCCCATGTGGGTGCAAGGGCCCAAGAACTTGGACCATCTTCCACTGCTTTCCCAGGTCATAGCAGAGAGCTGGATTGGAAGTGGAGCAGCCAAGACTCAAATCAGCACCCATTTGGGATGCTGGCTCTGCAGGCAGAAGCTTTACCTTCTGTGCGACAGTGCTGCCCCCTAGTTAAATTTTTTAGTTCCTGATAGACGTCCTTCTCTTGTCAAGAACGGGCATTGTTTTGGCCTTCAAGAATGAGAAAAGATGCGGCCGGCACTCTGGCGTAGCAGGTAAAGCCACCGCCTGTAGTGCCGGCATCCCGTATTGGTGTTGGTTCAAGTCCGGGCTGCTCCACTTCCAGTCCAATTCTGCTGTGGCCTAGGAAAGCAGTAGAAGGTGGCCCAAATGCTTGGGCCTCTGCGCCCATGTTGGAGACCCATGAGAAGCTCCTGGCTCCTGGCTTCGGATCGGTGCAGCCAATTGAGGAGTGAACCAGCGGATGGAAGACCTCTCTCTCTCTATCTACCTCTCTCTATATGTATACTTCTCCTTCTTCCTTTCTGTAACTCTGATGTTCAAATAAATAAATAAATCTTAAAAAAAAAAAAAGGATTAGAAGGAACAAAGAACTTGGAGCAGAGAGGGATTAAAAAGAGATAGGGGAAAGTTAAAACAGAAGGAAAGAGAAAATGGGGCCAAAGGAAGATAATTGACAAAAAATGTAACAGTCGTAGAAAACAGATTTTTCTGTGCTTTTTTTCTCCTCCTTAGACCTTACTAAGGAGGACATTAACACCCATTTTCTTTCTGGGCAGCAAGGGTCATAGCTTGGCTGTACAGAAAGGGAATCATGATGCTTTTAAGTGGTTCAGAAACTTGGTCCAAGCAGTTGTGCAGTTAAGGAGAAAGAAGAATACATAATTGTCCAATTCTCTTCATTAATTACAAAAATAAAAGCTAACATTGTTTTTATTTTTATTACTTTTTAAAAAGATCTATCTATTTATTTA